CAAGTTTTCATACATACAGTCAGTCTGTTTCTGGCATCTCTGTTCTGTACTATGGGTCAATTTTTCTACTGCTTTACCAAAATTACCATCTTAATGACCACAGCTTTTTGACAATTATTGATACAAGTCCCACCTCCTTATTTTACAGGAGTATCTTGACTAATTTTGGCCTGTTGATAGTTTACAAGCTCAAAAGGTTTCATGAAAATATCTTTAGAGATTTTGTTTGGCACTGCATCAAATCCATAGATAAATTTGAGAAGTGACATCTTTAGGATAAAATGTTTCAATTCACACACACAGTATATACTCTTTTTGTTAAGGTATTTTTTAATACCTTTTGGTATTTAAATATATTCCATAGGTATCTATTCCAATCATCAATTGCTATATCATAAATAATTCCAAAATTTGTGGCTTAAGACAACAACATCTATTTTGTTCACGAATCTGCAATTAAAGGAGGGTTTGTCAGAGACAGTTTGTGTCTGCCTCACTCCATGTCAAGCAGAGCAAATCATAGGCATGTAGGTGCTGGAATCACCTGAAGAATCCCAAGCCACATGGAGAGGGATGTTGTTGGTGCTGATGGTGATGTTCTGTTCAACAACCTTACCTAAGGTACCAGTCTACAGTCAGCATCCGCCACCAGAACACACTTTCATTTCTAATGGGGTATTTTTGCCTTCTCTCTTTTTTCATTAATCTCTCTGAACACTGAAATTATATATTGATATGTGGATTAAAAAATTAGTATTATCCTCTACATCTGTGCTGTCCAATATAACAGCCACTAGAAACATGTGGATGCTTAAATTTAAATTAATTAAAATTAAATTAAAAATTCAGTTCCTCAGCTATTGAGCCACATTGCAAGTGCTCAAATAGCCACATGTACTTTGTAGCTACTACACTGAACAGGACAGAGAGAATATTTCCATCACCTCAGAAAGTTCTATTGAATGCACTACACCCTTACTAGTTTTTCTCTGCTTGATAAAATACTAAGATTGTGTTAAAATTTCTACTATGATGATGGATTTTCCTTGTACTTCTATCAATTTTTGTTTTATATATTCTGAGACAATATAATTAGGTGCACATAAGATTAGAAACGTCCTATCAGCCTGGTAAATTGAATCTTTTACTATTATAAAAGTAGTAGTAGCCCTCTATCTCCAGCAATATCAATACAGTTAAGCCATTTTTCTTTTGATTAGTATTAGCCTGGTACATGTTTTCATATCCTGTTATATTCAACCATTTCTATAGCCTTATCTTTCACTTGTATCTCTTATAAGCCATTTGCTGAACTTTAACCAATCCTATCAATCTTTGTCTTTTAACTAGAACATTTAGTCCATTTACATTTACTGTAATTGCTGACCTATTTTTATTTATTTTTACCTTTTTTGTGCTATTTATCCCATCTTCTTTCTTGCCTTCTTTTAGATAATTTTTTCTTATTCTATTATCCCCCCTTTTAAATTGTAAGTTATATAGCCAATTTCTAGTCTTTTAGCAACCATCCTAGAAATTACTTACAAAGACTTTTAAATACCTGAATTCTGATAATCTCTTCTTAATGTTTACATCAATGCTGCCATGAATTTTAATTCTGCCTTTGTTTTTAACCCACAAGAGATTATTATTGTTTTATTCAGTCAATAGTTGTTTAAATTTACCCATTTTAATGGATCATCATACTTTCTTACACTTTCACTTTCCACTTAAGATAATTTTCCTTGTACCTGAAGTATATCCTTTAGAACTTCCTTTAATAAGAGTATATTGGTAACAAATTGTCAGTTTTAATTTGTCTGAAAATATTTTATTTTACCATTTTTTTTGAAAGGTACTTTTGCACAGTTTTAAAATATGGGATTACATAGTTATTTTCTTTTGGCCCTTTGATGAAACCATTCTACTGTTGGCTGGCTTCCACTGTTGCTGAGAAGCTGAACCTCATCAGTCTTACAATGGTTCATTTGAAGTTAATCTTTTTTGTTTGGCTGCTTTTAAGAATTGTCTCTGCCTTGTATTCTGTACTTTCACTATGTGTCTAGGTAGAGAGTTCTTTATGTTTATCCTGATTGGGATCTACGGGGCTTCTAAGTATTAGTATTTGCATCAGTACTACAATATCCATAGCCATTAGATATTCATCAAATATGTCCTCCAGTGCAGATTGTGTCTGTGCATGTGTGTGTGTGTGTGTGTGTGTGTGTGTGTGTGTGTGTGTGTTTCCTACTGGAATTCCAATATGTTTTTCTTCTGGAATTGCAATATCTGAAATCTCTGAAGGTCTAATTTTGTTGCCCATTAATTTTACTGGCTTTTTTCATAGTTTTTCATCGCTTTTTGGATAACTTTTTTATTGTGAATTCATTTTTCTTGGAATTTTATCTGAGAATTATCTGACGTCTCAGTTAAGTGTAGACTCCTCTGGAGAAGATCTGTGTTTATTTCTTATAGACGGCTGGGGGCTCTATTTTAAACTAAATTCTTGGCTTAAGGTTTCCCAGACACCAAGGTCGTGTGAATTCAGGCAATACACCCACTTGAGAGTCAACATGAATTTTCAAGGGGCACCTTGCACCCATCTCCCAGCACCAAGGTTTGACATGATTTTCTTTGCAATCACTCCTTGGGGGTAAGAGCTTACTTCCAGTTCACGCTGAATGTTGCCCTTTGAAGTCTCAGTTTTATGAGACTGGAGTAGGAGATGTCTTAGACTCCCCACCATAGGCTCTGAGTTTTGTCTTCTATTTTCCAGGCCCCTTGAGGTCATAAACACTACAGATGAATGTTCAGCAAATGCCCTCAAAGTTGGCTTCAGAACTCTGCTTACCTCTTAAGCGCTCCATCTTTCACTTAGTCTTTGGGCTCCACGTATTCTTTTTTTTTTTTAATTTATTTAATTTATTTATTTTTGGCTGTGTTGGGTCTTCGTTGCTGCATGTGGGCTTTCTCTAGTTGCAGCGAGCAGGGGCTACTCTGCGTTGCGGTGCATGGGCTTCTCGCTGCAGTGGCTTCTCCTGTTGCAGAGCACAGGCTCCAGGCACATGGGCCTCAGTAGTTTGGTCCCTTGGGCTCAGCAGCTGTGGCACGCGGGCTCTAGAGCGCAGGCTCAGTAGTTGTGGCGCACGGGCTTAGTTGCTCCCTGGCATGTGGGATCTTCCCAGACCAGGTATTGAACCCGGGTCCCCCGCATTGGCAGGCGGATTCTTAACGACTGCGCCACCAGGGAAGCCCCTCCACGTATTCTTTACTAGCTACATTTCAAATATATTTGTTTTTCCCCCTCAGCATTTTTAGTTGTTTTCATCAGGGCATCCATTTGGCCATACTGTCAAATAAGAGGTACAGAATCTTCATCTGAAGATGAGAAAAGAAATATGCTCAAGGACAATTTAAATACGTTCTGCAATGACAGATCCATAAATTACTTAAAGGATAGTTGGGGATTTTGGAGGATCTTTAAGTTTTTTTTTTTTTTTTTTTTGCAGTACGCGGGCTTCTCACTGTTGTGGCCTCTCCCGCTGCGGAGCACGGGCTCCGGACGCACAGGCTCAGCGGCCATGTCTCACGGGCCCAGCCGCTCCGCGGCATGTGGGATCTTCCCGGACCAGGGCACGAACCCGCGTCCCCTGCATCAGCAGGCGGACACTCAACCACTGCGGCACCTGGGAAGCCCAAGACTTCTTTTTAACAAGGTCTGTTGAAGACATGTAGGTAACCGCGCTGACCAGTCAAGAAGTACTCTGGAAATTAGTAACTTGTCCTCCTGCCCGACTTTAGTACTACAATTTGATCTTGGGGAAAAGGCAAGTCTTTGACTGGATCACCTTAACTTAAAGGAATCAAACGAGGTAAATATTGTGATATCATGAACATTTGTGTCTTGTTTCCATAATTTGTTGAAAGCAAACACTGTGTTCTTTAAGTCTTCCAATCCTTCCCCTCCTAGTTCTTACCCACTTCCTACAAGAACCAAATACAATGCACCCAGCTCATGGTCAAGTTTTCACTACAGGATCTCCTTAGCCCTCTATTCTCACAAAGGTCTCACATGATTTTGAAAGTGTTTCTAGATCGAGAAATGCTGCACTAAAAACCAATTAAACTCCATCTACCCTTCCTATAACAAATCATCTTGCATCATCAAAATAACCACCACTTTGTAATAATATGAGAGTGTCAGAGCTGCCAGAAACCTTAGAGATCGTCTAGTAACTAGTCCAACATTCTCAACTTACAGCTAAGGAAAAGGACGCTTCAAGTGAACAAAGTTGCCTAAAATCACTAAAGTGGATAGCTGAGAGCTGAGTTACGGCTGACACCTAGTTTCCCGACACCGTGCCCAAGCTCCGGGTCTTGCCATTCCCTGCATGGGGACATCTGGGGAAGGCGGAGAGGGAAAGAGATCGACAGATTAAC